TAGAGCTACACACAATTGCCTCAATAGTTTTTCTTTCCTGGACAAGAACCCCAGAGGCATTTCTTTCAACTTTCCTTCTGGATGTTATGTAATGATATTTGAAAAACAATGTTCCTGTAACTAAGTAAGGACCAATAGCTTCATTGGTTAATAGTAAGGAGTGGTCGTAAGTGCTGATTTCTTGTGGTTAATAAAAGGCTGTCATTGTAGGTTTTTCTGTAAAAGTCTAGAAATGATTTGGAAATTTTAGGTAGCAAGATGCAACTGAAACTGTGTAAGGCTTGAAATGCACTGTGTAACTGAGGAAGTGGAAGTTTAGAATAATGAAGGCACCTTTAAAATCATGGTCCTTAGTTGATCAAGAAGAATAAAGAGGATCCTTTATTCTTTAAAAATTTCAACTGATATCCAGCATGACGACACATGTCTTTAATCCTAGCACTCAGGAGGCAGAGGCAGGCAGATCTCTGTGAGATTGAGGCCAACATGGTCACATAGTGAGTTGTAGGCCAGCTGTTAGCTGCAGGGAGACACTGTCTCAAAAACAAAATAACAACAAAAAGAACATCAACTATATGGGGACTGGAAAGATGGTTCCATGGTTAAGAGCACTGGTTGTTCTTGCAAAGGACCAGGGTTTAGTTCCCAGCACCCATATTATAGTTAACAATCATCCATAACTCCAGGTCCAGGGGATCCAATGCCCTCTTTTGGCCTCTGCAGTCATTACAGGGGATGAGTACTCTTACACACATGCAGGCAAAGTGCTCATACACATAAAATAAAAGTAAATAAGTCACAGAAAAAAATTTAAAAAAAAATTTAAGTATATGAAGGTTGTATGCCTAAAACGAAGATATCTTTTTTACTATAATTGGGTGCTAAACATAATATTAAACTGCCATAATACTGAAATACTATTTATCTGTATAGTTTGACTTTTTAATAATATTTTTCTCAGAAATTGCATTTCTAATAGGGACATGTATTCAATACATAGCCTTCTTGGCAAAATGAGTAAAAAATGTCCTGCTGTATAATTTCAGTAGGCGTCCAATCTGAATTCGTTCCTTCTGCGACGAGTAACTGACAACGTGTGATTTATGGATTTGGAATAATTGAATTTCTTGGCTGTCATATACTGAGTAAGAAATATTACATATGTTTCCAGAAAAAATGACTTAAAGAAGAAAAGAGTGAAATGATGCCAAGTTCTGAGTTTTATTTGGAAACAGTGTTCCAACCAAATGGTACTTATGATGCTCTCCCTAAGTTTCTGAAAAATGTTTGCTAAATAATCTTTGAAAATGTTGTGTGGGACATAAGGTTTGAAAATGTGCCATTTTGAGCTAAGTCAAAGCATAGAATGGAAGGCAGCATATTCGTGTTCCCTTCCACCCAAGCCCAAGAAATGTTGTATTGTATATTGACACGGCAACAGGTAGGAGTAAATTTCTCCCCAAATAGGAGTTACACAACAGCTCATTTGCCTGTTAAACACTGCGTATTTACTGATTTAGTGTAACTTTTCTCTGAGCAAATTTTTTTTGAGGATGATAAATACAGTTTTATTTTATTTTATTTTATGCTTTGTCTTTCAAAATTGGCTGTAAATTTTTAGGCTCACAGTTGAATTAATACAGTTATACAATATTGAACTCAATATAAACCCTACAAAACATAAAATTGAATGAGGTTTTAACCTTTAAAAAAGATCTCTATTTCATTTTAAAATATGTTTCATACAGAAAAACTCATTTTTAAAGCAACTAACACATGTTTGCACATGTGTTTCTAATCTCTATGTATCTGATTATTACTAGTCACAGTCAGTTACTTTATAAGATCCTTGGCACCTAAGCATGGATATAAAGTCATCAGGTAGATTTCAGTGGTAATGTTTTTCACCTCTACTAATTAACATGAAGCAAATTTTTATGCTTCTTCCTTAAATATAACTCACATTTTATTTATTGATTTGTGTGTGTGTGTGTGTGTATTTCATACAGAACATCCTAAACAATCTTATCTATATACCCACATCTCAAATGGCACCCTCCCAAACCCCCACCACCACTGGAGCCCATATACTCTGTCATCCCTGTTACTGTCCACTGTGTTGTCGGCATCCCTAGGTGTTCTCTAGTGCTTGCCCATCTGCTGAATCTAGTCACCCTATCTAGAATTCTTTGTTTTAGGAAGATCAATCAGTTCTTCCTCATCTAGCAGCAGTCAGTTGCCAATATTCCTTTAGATAAGATTGGGGTCTGCTGTTCATTTTCCCAGTTCTATGCTGCATTACTGTCTGGGAATCTCTTGTATCACCCTGGCCCACAACTCAAAGGAAGGTATCTCCTGTCTGGCAATGTTTCTTGTTATGTAGCCTTTAGCTATATACATGGATTCTTAAAGAATTATATTGACCCCATTAATCTTTGGTTATACTTTCCTTTTGGGTGCTTAAGACTATGCAGTTGGCCCAGATATACCAATTTATTTTTACTCTTAAGGCCGTTTGAGGATCTGTTCCTCTGGCATCACATGGGCTTGGGAGGAGCCCCTGGGTCCTTTCTTTTACCAGTTCTATGTGAAGATAAGTCAAAGGTCCTTGAGCAGAACTTTTTTAACAGGAATTTTCTAAAGTGAGTTCTCAGCTTTACTAGAACAGGCCCAGTGGTGCTTTACTGCCTTTCACTAGTTTTGAGTGGTCCATGGATTTAACTGATCCATTCATTTCCAACTTCCACAGAGTTTTTAGCAACTCTTTTCACACTTCTGATTTTAATGATGATAGGTTGACTGTGGTAGAGCTTTAGGACCGAGGAAGAGTCAGTGGATCCTGTTTTTGTCCTTTTGACCGGCAGCTTAATAGGCCTTTCTGTGACTATGTAGCTTTTCTACGGTAATCCAGGTGAAAGAATTCACCCTTTGGAATGTGGCTAGTTTGTTGGAGAAATTGAGTGTTTTATTTTGTTTTGACTTGATATTTAAATTTATGTATCACATTAGATAATATAGGGAGACTTTACATGTTAGTCACCTTTCCAACACAGTGACAAAAATACATGACATAACCAAAGGAGAAAAGATTTACATGGCTTTAGATTTCAACCTACGGTCTGAACCTAACATTTTTACAACAGCAAGCTTACCAACTTGAGCAAGTCAGTTCTATACTTGTTGACAACATTAAAATTGATGGCACTGGGTCATGTTCAAGGCTTTCCTTCATGGTTCTAAACTGGGTAATACTACCCTGATTAGAAAATCATAAACATTTGTTAAAATATTTTTTGTTGCTAGAGTAACTGGAATATTGTTCTAGCATTTAGTGAGTGGAGAGCCTCTAAGACCTGCAGTACATAGCACAGTCTTTACATTGGATCATTATCCACCCCAACTGCTGATGTCAGCACATTAACAAATTCAAGTAGGACATCAAAATTCTCTTAAGTATTGTTTAATTTTTGAAACTTGCAATCTCTGTCTTACCTACAGCTAATTCTGTCTTCAAGGACCTGGAACTTACTAAGAATAAGTTAAGCCTCCTCGACAGCTTCAACCTTACTATAATCAGTTTTTCTTTTATTCTGCTCTCTATGATCTCTCTGCACTTCAGCGTTTTCTAGACTTTCCCATCTCAAATAATCACCTTTCTGAGTTCCATATTCTCTGCCTGTGACTCTCTTCTTCTCCATTCACAACAGTGTGCCCCTGCCAATCTCAGAATGCATGCTTCTATAGTTATTGAAGGAAACCATTTCTGTGCTGTAATAAAAACAAAGCCCATAGGATATGTAGTTTGAAAGCACATCATTTTATTACATCAGGAGTCACCACACCACATTCCACCTCAAAGCAATTGTGTGTGTATCGCACGCACTACACAGCCATACATGATTTAAATTTTCCATGGAGTGCCACATTTAATTTTTGCACGTTGAAGCATACTCTATGCTAGATTCACATTTTTCCCAATTTAGTATCATATTAGATTTCTTCAACTGTAGTCTTATCCTAAAACCATAAAGTAGCTAATAAAATTTTTAATTCATGGTCAATTTGTCATAAAAATAAAATTTCCTAACTACCTTAATAATATCTTCATCACTTCTCCCATTTATCTCAAGAATTACCTCATATCCCAGGTAAATCACTCCAATTTGAGCCCAGAAAACACTAGGCTGAAATAATTACATATAAAGATCTGTCTATTCTTGGTTATACACACACTTTGAACTATTTGGAAAACTGCAATGATTGCATCTCTTTAGCTCCATCTCAAAGCAGTAGGGCATATTTTAATGTATGAGTTTATAAATCACAAGGCATTAAAACGTGTTGGTGTATCCTAATTCTGCATTTTACAATTCTACAAAGAAATGCTACCAAAAATTAGAGTCAGTCATTTATTCCTTCAAGATAAAACTACTCCTTGCAAAAATTTGGTTGAACCATATATACATAATTTGTTGTTCTTTTATAGATATTTAATGGCAAACATCATGCCTATGTGTGGCATGAAATGAACAGTGAAGATGCTGACTCAGTATTTGAGGTTGAATTTATGGACAATATCTGTGATACATGAAACAATGAAATATCCCAAATGAGTTGGTAGAGTTCAGAACGGTACCAGAAACCATCAGGGTCCCATTACTTCTGTTCAGCAAGAGTTTTTAGTGTTGATTTCAGCATGATTAATGATATTCCTGGAAAGGCCTTCATGTTGCCATTAGATCCAATTATTGCTGTTTTGTTAGTATGATTAAAACTCCTGTGTTGTGTATAAATTGTAGAATCTTTTCATAATCAGTAGTAAAGATTTTATTTTACCTATGATTAACTCATAAAATTAGTTGAAAATTGATAGGCTTTGGGAAGTAATAAAAAATACAATAGAGGGTTACATATTTAAAAATATTAGATCACTTTGTGTATTGTCAGATGTTATATTTTCACAAGTATTTTCAAAGTTCATGCTATTTTCTCATCTATACATACACCAGTTACTATTTTAACATTCCATTATGGAAGAGAAGGATTGAATCTGGCTATATGAATGTCAGCTTATTTTTCGAAGTCTTATACTGAGAATTCTTTCAGATGCTTTGGGTATATGCTTTCTTACATATCACTGGTCTATATTATTTCATGATGTTAATTATAAAAGGAGTCAAAACATTTAAAAATCTATATCAAAGATAGTTGTAACTTCATTTAGAGTGGTAAACCATTTATCCTTCTGAATAATTTAATTTGGCTGAAAGGTATTCAAAATAAAGATATAATGGCTACTCTTAAATCATAAGTTTTGTTTAAAAATATGGAATTATATGAAGTTATGCTTATTAATCAATATTAATAATTATTACATAAACATCATAATCATAGTAAATTACCCAAACATCTCAGTAATTTATGTTTATATGACAATATTTAAGCCACTCAGCTCCAAACATATCAGATACAATTACATATATGTATATTTACAATAAATATAAGAAGAAGAAAAATGGACAAATTCAGTAAAAATTAACTCTGTGACTTTGTGGGCTTAGAAAACTTTGACAAATGGCTTTCCCATAACTGATAGAGGACCCTCACAATCTTTTCTGCTATTTCTTTATATTCATGTAGCTATAAATATGTGTCATGTGTGTCTTCTGTATTTACAGTATATATACACATATGCATACACCCAAACGTTATGCCTAGACTCATTCATGAGCATGTAGATCCATCTGCACAGTACAATGAAAACATGCTTATCTTCTTTATATAATTTTCACTTACAATTTTTCACTTGTGGAAAAATGCAAAAATATCATACAGATTAATATTCTCTCTCTAAAAATCACTTTTTATGCTTTAGGATTTTTGTAATTTACAAATAAATTATGAAATATAGTTCATTCACAAATTGAAAATAATTACAATGTTGTTACAACAAGGCATTGCTGAGGTTTGAACTGTGGCGTTCTTGAAGTCATCTGTCTTTCAGAACAAAGACATCAATAGTTATTGTTAGTTCTTGATATCTGTATTTTCAAATCACTCATGAAACATGTGAATACACGTCTAATACTCATGCTAGTCAAATGGTTATTGTTAGAGTATGAATCATTTCTGTTCAACTGCTTAATTTTTCCTGACAAGTCTTTAGAACAATCTGGTAAGTCTGATGAAATGACTAAACTAGGATATTTCTGGAAAATTCTCATCCTATATAAAAGGATAGAGAATAAGTGAGAAAGGTCAATCTGAGTGGATACTCAGAAGAAGTAAAAGCGAACACATGAACTGTTATAATTTCATCCACCAGGCCTTCGGTATCTCCTTGACTCATGAGCATCCTGACACATGTTTGGTTCTTTAAAACATTGATTGTACTTTTCCATTAAACATCAGTTGTGGTCCTCCATTGCTCATGTTGTCTGTCATTTCCTGTTAGGAAAATAAAAATTTAGTTAAAACACTCTTTCAGAGTAAGGCATTGGTTTTGTTAACAGGTTTGTAAAAGAGAAATTTCAAGCCATTGAAAACCTTTATTTGGGAGAATGACAGGGATTGATACAGTTTCTGCATTTTTGATGTTGTTTTGTTTTATGTTTTATTTGTTTTTTAACAGGGTTTAGAAATGTGACCCAGACCAGGCTTGAACTTGTTGTGTAGCCCAGGCTGTCCTCAAAATTACAATCCTCTCACGCTTTCTGAGTGTTGAGATTACAGATATGTACCACCAAGCCTAGCTAAGACACTTTATAATGGCATTATCACTTAATACAGTAAAAAGCAAAACAACAAAGCCAAGAAATTAATAGGAAAATGTGTATATAGATGTGAAGAATGAACTAACATAAAAGTTCCATTTGCAATTACAGAAAATATTTAACTAAAAATTTGAATGCTTTGAATTTATATGTTTTATTATCTGTTTTGCATCTAGCAGGGACTCATGTAGCCTAGGCTGGCTACAAGATCATTATGTAGCTGGGGATGACTTTGAACTTCTAATCCTCTTGCCTCCAACTTCTGAGTTCAGAGATTTCACACATCCCTGGTTTATATAGTGCCAGAGGTCAAACACAGGGCCTCTAGCATGTGAGGCATGAAGTCTACCAACTGAGCCACATCTCCAGCCCCTGTTTTGTTAAGAATTAAATCTTTCTTTACACAATGAAAAGTAGAGAAATAGGAGGCCTATTCACATTTTTCAGTTAACATACCACATATGTAGTATGTTAGCAAAATTATCAATTTTTAAGACTGACAACATCTTTCTTCACTTGAACAAGTTTATTTTCAAAAATTCAATAAAAAATTCAAGTGAAAATATTTTCTCGGTAATCTCATCATTCCCACTTCTACCTCATTTCTGTTTGGAGTCGCTGTAGGCATGTGCATAGTAAAAGCAGACCTGAATACATGGGGCTCATCGGGCTTGTGTTGTTTATAAGGAAAAAGAAACTGACTGGTGGGAAGATGAATATAACTCAGTTCTTCAAATGGTCATTAATGAAATTTACTCAAAACACCTTTTTATTCATCCTGTCATAAGAGAAAGAAAAATTCTTAATGAATGCATAAAAATGGAATCTTATCTGATGCCATTTCCCTTCTTTAAAACCTCAAATAAAAATAACTACTTAAAGCCTATAAAACTAAAGTACTAATATTTATTGCAAGATTTTTAGAAAAACGTTTTCTAAAATTTTATAAAAGAATCTTCTTAACTAAATTCACCTGAATGTGGACACAGAACCATTACTGGCAGAAAATAACAGTGAAAATGGATGAGTCTTATCATTTTATTGCAAACTAGCATGTCCAATTTAATACAAAGATCACACTTTAAATTTGGGCAGAGCAAATATGGAAATGTACAAACAGACATACTTTCCCTCAGGCTATAATATCAATATGATTTTCTGTATTTCCTGTTAAATTGTTTGACCAAACCAAGAGCTTTGACTATTTAGCAGCTGGAAATATGGGAAATAAATTGGAAATGTATTTTATCAGATAATTTCACCAGAAGAAACATTCCATATAGAAATTTTGCTATATTAATGTCACCCTTTGGCTATCTATTCATGAAATTTTGGCATGACAGAAATATACTGTTTGTCTTTATCCAGACTCATCTATTATTAAAAGCAAAAGTATGATGTCTGAATGATATATTGAGTTGGAATCATGATGCAGCAGGAAATAAAAAAAATTATGATTCATCCAAGCAGAGCTCTGCTTGGATGTTATAGACAGGCTGAATATTTGAAATATTCAACCAACTTTCAAGCTGCAAGATGCTGCCATGTAGGTTCGTGTCTGCTCCTGAGAGCAACCCTTCTGAAAGTGATGCTTTGAGGGACATACAGCATCAGTCCAGACTGATCTGCTGACATCACGGCTTCCTAAAAGAGGCAGTGCTTCCTGTAGCGACATTACAACATGGTAACTCCCTAGAAGTCAGCGTACCTTGTAGGTAACTCTGGTGTCGGGGGCACCACCGGGCAGCTGGGCAAGTCGGTTATTTCAATAGCCCTCAATCTCTAATGTAAATATAACAATTATACAATAAATATTGCACAAACATACAAAAAGCTAAATCACACTAGCATTAAAAGAGAGCATGAAAGAGCCACTAATCAAATATACAATAATGATCTATTTTTACTTATTTATTCTTCGAATTTATCGGTTCTTCTATTTGTACCATAAGTTCCCTTTTGAAGGAAATGCACAGTTCTGTTTACAGTTGTTTTCTTGGGACAATGTGAATCCCCTCTCCTTATGTACAGACAATATACAAAATGAAGATGGATGAACTACAAATGAATGTTTCTTAACTTCAAAATAACATTATAAAGAAATAGGCTTAGCTTGCGCTACTGTTTATTTTACTGTGTGAATGTACAATTTTATTTTCACAATTATCAACCAAAATAATTTGCCCATTATCTTTGTGAGTTTATTGTACAGATGTTTATCTTCCTTAATAGATGCAGTAACAGGATCTGAATTCAGAAATGTGCACCAAATGTAATAGGAACACAGACAGATTTCTATACAATTTATTCTTTAATGCAACCAATGTAACTTTCTGTTTGAACAGGTTTCATGAAACAATTATGCAAGCACCATTGTATAAAATACAGGCAACGCTATCCAAATATGCATGAAGCTTAGGTGAGAATTAAATGAAGCTTTATATGGATTGTAGTATCTGCACTGATAGACAAGGCTTTTTGTCACTTTACTGAAGAGGTTCTTTTATGCTTGAGGATCTAATTTACATAATCAAATGCATCTACTTACAAGCACAAAGGATGTGCTGGAAAAGGGAATTAATGTGATTTCTAAAGCTGGTGTTATTGAGTGGAGACTGTATTTAGTTTATGTTTTTCCTCAGTATAATACATAAAAATCCATATTTATAAGGTGCTCAATATATTATGAAATGCTATTTCAGGAGCTTTTTTTTGAATAGACAGAGGCTATAAAATTATGCCAAAATGGCTGTACCTATGAATTGAAAAGAAAAAGTCATTTTATAAATCCTGTTTTTAATCCAATAGGGTCAAACTTACAACATGTGGTTCCCCAAATTGTCATCTAAGCTTGCAAGTTGATTCACGTACACTGTAGTGATCATCAAATCACAGCAGTGGGAAACAAAAGGGCAAAACTCACTTTCTCAGCCATTTCATGGGAGTGATGCAGGGAATGCTCCCTTTCTGAGAACATCCTCCTCTGCTCATAGCTGGCTAGCCGACAAGTGAGCCAGGAGGACAGAGTGCAGCCCCCAATGCCGATGCACGCCAGAGACATGGATGCAAGATGCAGAGGATATAGGGATGAGGTCTTCTTAGTGACTGCCCGGAGGAACTGAAAATTCAAGATGCCCCCAATGAGTCCACAGATACAGCAGGCTGAAAAGAGGATCATCTGATAGGAAGAAGAAAGAAGGGTTACAGTTGATCAGGCAAAGAAGGCCAGAACACGGAGCCTTGCCGTGTTGCAGATCAAGAATGGCTACCCTACAGTGGAGAGTGTATTTGCTTTCTAGGAGGTAGGGCAGGTAGATCTGTCAGTGGAGATTTCACTCAGTCTGACTCACTGTACAGGAAGTAGACCACAGAACAAAATTGAACCAATGTTATGTCTTAGGAAATTCTGATGTAAACACAATTTATCTTTGGGCTACTAGATTCAGACTGAAATAGTGTTCATGAAATATAAGTTTCATGCTATTGTGGTTGGAACAGACATCATCTACCTTATCCCTCCTAGAGGTCCTCTGACAGAATCATTAATACAGATTTTGGAAAAATAAACGGTGATCAGGTCAGCTTTTCTGATTGTATTCAGTTTCACTATGTCAGTCTCAAAGTATCCAAACATCTTTTCATTGAGCTGTCATCAGTTCCACTTAACCAGGTGTTTATAACTTTCTACCTATGTGAACTCAGGAAATTTAGTTCAATCCTCCTTCTTTTCATTCATTATTTTCTTGTGTAACTATTTCCCCTAACAGGTAAGTTAGGGATTTCCCACAACTTGGTCCATTATCTTACAAATCTTTGGTGACTCTGTGGCGCCACAGTGAAACAGTATACAACAGCTGTCAAGTGCTGTTTCATTATTCTGAAGAAACACAGAATTTGGTTGTCGATCTTGCTTACTTACTTTTGATCTTACTGTTGATTTGACCTGGGTCTCTGTTCATAGAGACCTAACCTAACCAGGAGCCTTTGCAGAACCAAGTAATTTGCATTCTGTATAGTAAATATTCTGTGAATATTTAAGAAATTTAGTTATTTAAAGAACTCCATATAATTATATTTGTTTTTAGCAACTGCTCCAAATTAGCAGGATTTCATAGCTCCTTTATAGTGTAATACTAACTTATAATCCACTCTTTTTTTTCTCTAAAGCACAGTATCTATTACACAAACACACACACATACACACACACACACACACACACACACACACACACACACACACAGAGTCCTAGTCCTTGGTATCATACCCAGGGCCTGTCATATGCTGGGCAAACACTCTATAACTGGGCTACACCCCAACTAAACCTTTCCTGTCATTGATATACCATTCACATCTCATCTCAAGGACATTTTTAGATTCCTGGATATAATTTTACTTTATTTTTACCCCTAAGAGGAAGGAACAAAGTCCTAACTTTTTCAGAAAGCCTTCCTGGACTTTATTGATCTCATCCTTTGGGAAAATTCCCCAGGGCAAACAGCTTTATACATTACTTTAGTGTTTTCTTAGGCATTAGAAAATACTGTTTGCTGTCAACAGTTATTTGAGTTCAACAAGTGTTTTTTGAGCACTTAGCACCTACAACTGCTGGCATTACAATGAAATGTTCACACATAATCCTTGTGAGCATATTGAGATTTTATGAGAGAGAAGATTTAACATATTGACATGGCAAGACCAATATGAAAACAATATAAATAGGTCATTTTAGGAGTAAGAGAGGAGGAATGTATTGCAGTAGGACTGTAAGAAACTTCTTTGAACACATGCCATCTCAGCTAAGTTCAGGCTGGTGCCAGGAGAGGGCCCAGCATGGATGCCTGAAACAGCACAAAACTTGATAGGGAGGAATTACTACTAGTTTAGCAGTTCCCTTTCTCCAAGTCAGTTCTGTGCTCCTTATGGAATTTATGTCAGGGTACTTATCATCAGAGCTGAAAACCCATTGATAGAGCAATAAAATCTTTTTTAGTATTGATTAAACATAATACAGATAATTGGCTACTAAATCATGGAATCATGGAATCATTCCATCAAGAGGCAAATTGTAGTTCACAACTTGAAGCAAAATTAGCCAGTTATATCCCATTTTACATGATATTAACTTGCCATGCTCCTTCTTGAATGTTTATTTTGGTGTTTACTCATTCACAAATAATACTGATTATCCATTCTAGCCTTCAAGTAATGAATGGATTTTAACTTTAAAACTAGATGATATATTTATTGTCACAGGAAAGCCTGTGTCTTCTGATGTTGTTCTCAATGTCTTTAAAAGCTAATTACATGTCATTAATATGTATTGACAGAATATTGTCACTTAGGAATTAAAATAGTGTTAGTAGCAAAAACAATGGGTCTTTCTGCAAGGAACAATATATTCTAAAATGAAATGGAGATCTTTTATAAAGGTTAAAAACTCATTCAATTTTATGTCTTACATGGCTTATACTGAGTTCAATATTGTATAACTGTATTAATTCAATTATGAACCTAGAAACTTTCACCCACTTGTGAAAGAGATTGATTAAACTCTTGCTCTGGAGTGTGTTACTGAATATGTTAAAGCTGTAGTGAAATGCTTCTTCTAATCATGTGGCTATTAAAATTTTTTTAAATGTTTAAAAAAATAATTCTTCAAAGCAAAAAAATTCTTTACATATTATTGATACAAGTCCTATATCAGAAATGTGTGTTATGGACATCTTCTTTCAGTCTGTTGCTTGCCTATTTATTGTTCTTAATGACTTTTTAAGACAGAAAATTGAAACTTTAAAAAAATTATAAAGATTTGTGTCCAGGTTCATAACCACATACTGTTTTCAAGCCTCATCAAGCAAGATACTCTATACTGAAGAGAACTTCGGATGGAGAAGTTTTGTAAGAAATTTACAGGATAGCAAGTAATCAAAGCTACCTACCCGTCACTCTTGAGATCTTCAGAAAATGCAGAAGGATAATGTACTTTCTAATGGCAAGTGTATCTACCACCTGCATGATAGTTCCCCCAAAAGTTACTTTTATAATTTATAAGAGAATTAGAAAAGACACAAGTGCCTTTGAAACACTCAGTGTTCCCCTTTCCTCCTACCCTACCTCCCTTCCTTCCACCTTTGCATCCTCTTTGTTTCTTCTCCCAGTAAGTTGTTTCAACACAACCATAAAGAGCATTGATGGTGGAAAGATGTAGAAAGAATGAAGCCCAGGCCTTCATGATGTAAAATTCATAGAGGCCAATTATAAATATCCACAAACATGTTTTCCCCAATGATTAGAGTGTACCTAAATTTTTTAAAATCACCTCACACACAGCTATCACAGTAGGTGCTTTATCTACCTTTTCTCAATAAATATTATCAGAAAGAAAGATACAACCAGAAAAAGGTGAGAGTACATGGAGCAGTTCCTGCCCAGCTTATGCCTGCCTTTTCTTTAAAAAACTCTCTTTAAGTCCAAAGAATACTTCCTAGGGTCCCAGTGTAGTATTGATTTTATCAGTTTGTAAAGTGTTATGATATTTTCTTCCGTATGCAATAAAAATAAATCAGGCCCTTTCCTTATTTCCAAACCCTCATAAAACGTCATGGAAGACAGAGGGGCGACCACATTTCAGCACTTAAGATTCTCTGCCAGCCAACATCAGAGTTCACAGAACCCTGTGATAGTAAATAAAACATCTGAAAACACTAACATGTGTGCTAACAGTAATAAGGGAATAAAAATAAATCTTTAAGAATTATCTGTGGGGCCTGGAGAGATGGACCAGTGGTTAAGAACACTTGTTGTTCTTGCAGAAGACACGGGTTGGAATCCCAGCACCCACATGGCAGCTAACAACTGTCTGTAACTCCAGTCCCAGGGGATCTGACAGCCTCTTCTGACCTCCGTGGGCATTGCAGGACACGGGTGCACTTACCTACATGCAGGCAATACATGCATACACATAAAATAAAAATAATAATTTTTTTTTAAAAAAAGAATTAACTGTGGCCACAGCAATATAGCTATCTTGGCACTTTGTGAAACTAGCTTCACAGTCAAGATAGTAGACAATCCTGAGGCCCAGTTCCAAATATAACAAGTTGAATTTCCCACAGACTCAAGCTTTACCTTTATTAGTTCCCTGAAGGAGTCTCTACATGGAAAACTGGAGACAGTGATGTATAGCAAACATTAAATTTTGCTTATCTGTGTGGTTACAGAGTAAGTATATAGAGGGTTGTTTTTGTGGAGTTGGTGTTTTGTCATCGTCTCTACTACTCTTGATGGGTTTCTTTGAAACAATAAACCGAGGATTTATTTGTTAGTCTCCATTTAATCTCAAATTAGTAACATTAAGTATATCAAAGTTTTTTTTCTCTGTTTTTGAAAGCTTATGTTCCAAACACAGAAATGCACAGTACAAACAAGGCAAGAACTTACGACAAGTCCTGATTTTTTTTTGGCGCACAGTATTCCACATATGCCACAAAGAAGAAACTGCAAAGGAAAAGAAGACGAATTATTCCACTTGCACAGGTAGGAGAATCCCTAGATTTGATCTCTCTGTAATTCATTCAGGATACTTGCTCTAGGGGTGCTTACATGTTTCAGATTCCCATAAAAAATAAGAAAGAAAAGTACCCTGTTGCAGAATATTAAAGGCTAAATTTATTTTTTGATAACCAAAATTTGAATCATGTTTTCACCACATGAAACAATGAAGTCAAGAAGCTGCAGCTTCATTCCTCTGATCTCCGTTCACTGTCTCTTCCCTTTCTACTTTCTTAGAGACACAGGTGGTAAGTTCCATTCACACATACTACTCTGAGCTCAACAGCCCATCCTAGATAGGGACTGCAGCAAAGACCAAGAGAGGAGGCATCAAGTAAGGAGACCTCCATGGTAGCTCATTTTGATACAATAACTGCCTCCTTCTGAGAGAAAGACTGACTCTGATGACATGTCAAAAGAAACCAAACAGATGAAGCCATTTAATTTCATGTAAATATTAAACTGGTCATGTAACTTCTTTACACAGGCAAATCATCTAACAATGATAAAAATATTTTGCATCATAAAATGACAAAGAGTTTAATTTGGATAGAAATATTTAGGGCCATTTGAATGCAAATTTGAACACACTTCTGATTTGGCCTAACCATATAACCAAAATAATAAATAAATTAATAAATAATGAGTCCACTAATGGCTGTGAGATTTCCTAAGAAAATTTGTTTCCATTTTAATTTTTAATTTTTTAAATATATCTTTTGCCAGTGATGTGGCTCAGTGGGCAAAGCTTCTTGTCACCAAGTCTAATGACCTGAGTTCAATCCCTGGGATCCACATAGAGGAAGGAGTGAACTGACTCCCTCAAGCTGTCCTCTGGCTTCACACACACACACACACACACACACATTCTCTCTCTACATAAATAAATGCAATAAAAACTTTTAAATGGTATCTTAAATCATAGCTAATAATGTGACAAGTTTCCATTAGGTATTTTGTACCTGGATATAACTTTTAACGATATATGTCAAAATATCTTAAGAAGTCTCTGAAATAATATGCATGTAAGAAATAGATGAAAAACAATGAGTAAGGGAAGTTGTTGTAAGGTTTCTGTCCCCATAAAGGAGAGAGAAAAGATTATAAACCAGGCAGTGTGCAGCAAGAGGTGTCATTGGATACGGGATTGGTAAGAATTTGATAAATTCTTCAAAACCTTTCAAATTACTGGGAAAGGATAAGGATCATTTATTTCATCAATGAAATTAGGTAACTAGTTAACCTTCCAAAATACCATATAGCAACATTAAAATGGAGTGCTTTGAGTATTTACATGCACAAAACTTTGAAAATACCTTAAAACAACTTTAAATATTTGAATAATTTCAGAAGAATAGGAAGGATTTTCCAAATATAGAACCAAAGTCATGGCCCAAAACAGACTTTGTCCTCCTGTGGAGTCTTATTACTTATTCTGGCTGACATGTTTCAAGGCTGTGCTCAAACAATTGCAGCAGGGGCCAGTTCTGTTCCTTTCTGTGCTTTAGGTGAAAGCCTAAATGTGTCCATTTTGTAAGGTTCCCTTAGCAATTACATTATTCAATATGAAAACCCATCCACCAAGAATTCAATCTTGAAATAATTTGGAAGCAGTGTAATTTTGTTGTGTTTGTTGGTTTGTTTTGAAATCTGTAAATATTGCCATTATTTATTTACAACAAAGCTCAAGGGTCCTGAATAGCATCAGCAGAGCTCTCCATTCCTGAGACTTGGTTGCAGCATCTAGGCAGTGATGAACTTGCTGCTTCCCATTGTCCCACTTCATCTGGATGGAGCCAAGGAAAGGGGGCTTATGACTGGGGAGGGTAATGTATGGCCAGAGAAAAATTGAGTGATGTTTTCTTATTGATCTTCAGTTCTGAAGCATAAACAATTCTCTCATAGTTATTTTTGTTAGTATCCAAAATCATGGATATTCTAAGGCCAGCTGAAGAAGGCAGGCTTAAACCTAGCCATTATAATTTATAGACAAAAATGCCACCTCAAAGTTATAAATTAACTTTTTATTCTATTAGCTCTATTTCCTTACTACAAGCCATAAGATTGGAAGGAACCTTAAATGATCATGTAGTTTGGATAGTCTTGACAGTTTACATGTAGGGGTCTGGGAAACTAGAAGTCCAGCAACTTTGGTTAAATATCATTCATGTAACTGAAGACTTAATTAAATATCATTCATGTAACTGAAGACTTAATTAATTATCTAAGTTAATTTGTTTCTAATAGTATATTGGAAATGCTGCTTTTTTTTTTGGTCTTTTTGAGACAGGGTTTCCCTGTAGCCCCAGCTGTCCTGGAACTCAGGTAGACCAGGCTGACCTTGAACTCACAGACATCCACCTGCCTCTGCCTCCCAAGTGCTGAGATTAAAGGCATGTGCCACCACACCCAGTGGAAATGCTTTTCAAAAGGAGCTTTTAGTGTGAATACATTGTATATGATACTAAAAAACACCTGCTAACCTACAACTGCTCTCTTTGCCATGATCAGTGTTAAATTTTGTTGTAATATATTATGTGGAAAGCTTGTTATTGTACTATAGTCTAAAATTTTGTATTTGTTATTTCATATGAATGTTTATGAATGTTTACTAATTTGAAGTACTTTTTGTTCAACATAACTTCATCTAGGATGAAAAGCACTTACCCTTACCACAGAAACTCTTCATCAAGTAAAAAACAAATTTACTAAAGTAAAGCTGGTGGTGGTCAGATGTGTGTGTGTGTGTGTGTGTGTGTGTGTGTGTGTGTGTGTACTACTTGAATGAGATAAGCAGTTTTAAATGAGAAATATCAATCCACGGGAAGCTTGTTTTACTTTTACTATGAAAGAAAAGCAGTATAACAAAGCAGTGGTAAGTCATCAAGTCTACACTATGCAATTAAATGAATCAGTCCTCTAAATGGAATGCATTTGATTCCAATTTAGATTAGATACAAGATACCATCAAGGTCATCAGATGAAATAAAGCTATTATGGAAATAGCATTCTCTATTTTAAATGAGAGTGTTTTGAAATGAAAAGTCTATAGAGATTTTTGCTTTTGTTTAAGGTATAGAAACATGCAAAGATATAATTTCCACCCCAAATTTCAGAATGTCAACTTTTCTAAAACTCATCTGAGAACTGAGGTTCTCAATGAAACAATGAAAATACTTCAATCCAGAGAGAAAAGCTTCTCCAAGAAGTGTTTGAAATGTCTGACTGCTGCAGAGCATGGGAGAGAGAAAAACACAGGTGTTTGTGTCCATGTATGTGTGAAAAACCCTATTCCTTTCTTAGTCCTTGTCTTTTAAGAAGCAATTATCATAAGCCCTGGAAGAAGTGTAACAATGCTTTTTTAAATTCCAGGGTATGTGGAGCATAGACAGCAAGTGTAATTAGAAGAAAGTAGAAGAAAGAATTCATACAGGAGATGCAGGCACTCAACTTGGGTTTAACATCCTATGCATATACTGAGTGAAGGTCATCAATGACTGGAGAAGAGATAAGAGTTTTATTCTAGAGCAATCTCTGATACAAGGCAGAGTTTGGCTGTCACAAGTGGGAGGGTTCAGAATGCTGAAAAATGATCAACCCTGAGGCCAGGACAGGGATATTCTAAGATGAAACTGGTTTATAAGAGCAAAGGTCCTTATCCAGCACCCACCTGTCTTTCACCATAAGCCTATCTTGTGGGAGTACCAGGTGCCAACAGTCTAGCTGCAAGGGACAGGTGAAGGCATGGGAAAAGCTGAGTATGGAGATGAGCAGGGATTCAAGCTGAGGGAGCACTAACACAGGAAAACGATTGTAACATTGGGTTACTCATCTGGAGCACAAGGCAACCACAACCCACGAGGAACAGAATTTGAAGACTATGACATTCCAAAGATAATCATAGGAAGAACAAAATTTAATCCCTCACTGGAATGACTCCTCTCACACTGCCAACCAAATGAGCATATTAAAATGAAATACCAATTCAGAATATAAATAAGACCTTGAAATTTAAGCCAGACCACTCAGCCAAATTCATAATTCAAACATGAGATTTTAAGAAAGACATGCACATTTGGCCAAGGACTTGGTGGTGGATTGGATTATAATGACCATGGAGCAGTCTTGTTTTAAGACAGCAGGTTAAAATTGTTTCTCCACTTCATATTAACTGCTTCAGATGTGACAGTTTGCACTGAAATCCTGTAGCTGTTACAGAAGCTCTGGAGAGACAACAGATACACTGCTACTGCTTTTTCCCCCTTAAAGGAAACACAGACCTGCAAACTGAAATAAATACTTCAGTAGCTGTTATTGACTTCCATAGTTTTATAAAAAATTAGTCCATTTAAAGAGTTATCAGAAAACCCACAAAGGTTAGAAGCTGTGAAACGAATCCCCAAACCATCTAGCTCTGGTAAAATGATGCGTTTATCCTGCAGCTAGACAAGGAGTTGTAGAATTGTGTGGCTACTACCAGGTTCTAAGTATTTTCAGCACTTCAGTCATCTCCTAGTCAAAACTGATGATGACGAACTCTCTTTGAAGAAATATTTTGCACACAGAATGCATATTAAAAAGTTACTTTTTGATATTTTAATCTGATTATGATTTTCTTGCATAAATCTTACATGAATACACACATAAAGATGACCCTCTGACCTGGGGATTTCTAATTTGGGGATCCTATTTCCTTAATGCTTCCTGTGAAATTTGCTTGTGTAAAATTTAGAAAATACATCATTTTGGAAAGCCTTTCTAAAGTCAGTCATTCTCAAGATTATCAATTAGAATCTCGAGTGGTATCAGGCATCAGTGCTTTTCAATCTTCACAGGTGATTGCAGAATACAGTTCTGATCCACGTATCACATGACCTAAGACTCACACACAGCCAGCTGTGCCTTACAATTCAGCATTCTGCAGAAGAAATGACACATTATTACTC